AGGGAAGGAGTGCAGTGGGGCTGGGGTAGGTGCTGCCCAGCTGAGGCAGGGCGGGATGGGCATGGGACGGAGCTGTTGCTCATCTGGGAGGTGCAGACTCCTGCTGCTGCTTCTGCCGCTCATCATCCAGGAGGGCTTGTTGGGGTGCCCCCAGATCTGCACTGGGTGGGCCAGGCAGATTGCAGCCCTGCCCTCAGGGAGGGTGGCAGAATGCCACTGCCTGCTGCGCTTGGAACCCTGGCCCAAACCCCTGCTGGGAAGAGCCCTGCATCCCTCCCAGCCCCAGCTTACAACAGCAGCCTGCCCTTGACCCATGCACAAATATGGGGGGCATGTGCCCTTCCGTGCCTCCCCCAGGGTGCACCAGCAGCAGGAGCTGCCCTCCTGCTCCATCCTGTGCTGGGCAGCACCTGCCCCTGCCCCAAATCCCACTCCCTCCCTCACACGGGGGGCCTCGATCTGCACCCTGCCCCCCATGCCCCTTCCCTGCCCCTTTTCCTCCATAGACTTACCAACCAGATGCTGCTCTCCCAGCTGCCAGGATGCATATTGCCAATCAGATTGGTATCAGCTTATATGGATCGTTAATAATCAGCCATCAGTATTGGCCCCAAAAATCTTTATCGGTGTACTCCTAAATTTGTCCTTTTGCATAAAAGCTAGTATTTCCTACACATGAAGAGGAAGGTGAGAAGCCTTCCTGTCCCTACTGTGAAAAGCCTTAGAATCATAGAATCACAGAAAATTAAGGTTGGAATCGACCTTAAAAGTCACCTAGTCCAACCCCTGCTTAAAGCAGGACTGTCTCCAACTATATCATCCCAGCCAAGGCTTTGTCTAGTGGGTCTTAAAACCTCCAAGAATGGAGATTCCTTCTCCCTGGGTAACTAGTTCCAGTGCTTTATCAACATCCTAGTGAGAGAGGTTTTTTGCCTAATATCTAAGCTAAATTCCCCTTGCTGCAACTTGGGACTATTGCTCCTTGTTCTTTCATCTGCACAATGTTTGCTCATATTCAGCTTATTGTCCACTGTAATCCCCAGGTCTTTTTCTGCAGAGCTGCTGCTTAGCCAGTCTGTCTTGGTGCATGGGAATGTTTCTTTCTAAGTGTAGGACTTTATGCTTATTCTTATTGAACCTCATGAGATTTGGTCCAATCCTCCAATTTGTTGAGATCTCTCTGAATCCTACCCTTACCGTCCAGCTTATTGACTACTGTTCTCAGCTTGGTGTCATCTGCAAACTTTACTATAAAACTTAACTATAGCCTGTGTGAGGCCATTTCCGGTTTGCAGATGGTGCAGTTCAACCACTGGATTCTTATGACTTTGTCTTTGGCAGTCATGGAGCAACTTGGATAATAATGTTAGGATTACTTTAAATGCTTACATAGAACTTGATGCTATATAGGTAACTGCAAAGTCATCCAGCTGTTCTTGAAATAACTTCTACTGTTAACCCAAGTGTCAAATCTGGAAATAGAATAAAACAGAATGTAGTATTGATGTGCGCGTTTGGGAGAGTTTGCTGCTTAGATGAATATGATTAAACTTTAGTTTTTGAAATTACTTTACTTTTCACAAAGTTTCCTGGTTCTTGCTGGACCACTGCTGAAATCCTCTAGGCTTACTGCAAAATGTAGGTCTAGCTTGCTACAGAATATAAGCGGGGGAAAAATTTTAAGAAAATGAACCGCACTGAAAATGTCCCTTTTCTCAGGTCAAATTAAATGATTGAGTGACAAGTATACATGCATATCTGTCTTGTTAAAAACTTCAATGAGGTTTCAGATCTGTATTATCTAAAAACATTTTTCTGGTGCATTTTCTGAATGTATTTTTAGATGATGCATATTTGAAACCTCTTAACATTTTAAAGTTTTTTAACAAGCATTTACTGAGGGATGCCTTGAATCTAATGAGGTTTAGAACTGTTGGTTTAGAGAGATTGAGTTTTACACCTTTGCTTCTTTCCCATTCCTTTTTTCCAGGTTCTCCCCCACTCCTCCCCAGTGGCCAATTGTAAGTCCTAGAATTCACTTACAGGGCAAATTTTTCCAGCCAGTTGCTGATCAAACTCAAGCAAGCGTGCTTTCTTCTATCCTTCTTTCCATGTAATTTCCTACACTATGTAGAAATACCATTTACATGTTAATGATTGGTTTGGGAATTGTTTAAAAAGAAACTTAAAGAAAAGGGTCTTCCTCAGATCTCTTAAGTCAGGGTTATCAAATTCATTTGATTAGAGGCCAGATAAGAGAGATGGTGCTGGATTGGACACACAGGCTGGGCCCACATCGTCCATGGCATGTGCTGCATTAAGCATCTCCATGTGCAGTGCGCAGGGCTAGTCCAACACTTATGGGCAGGGCGATACAGGTTCATGAGCCAAATCTTTGACACCACTGGCTTAAGTCATGTTACAAATTTAATTTTAAGCTACAGGTTTTCTATAAGGCAGTTCCCTAAAACAACATATGAGCTTAACCAGTGTCTCGGTGTACTAGAAAATGTATTTTTAAATAAGGTAGAGTTGAAGCCTCTTAAAATTTAAGTTTGAGAGACTGCACAAGCTTGTGGATTAGATATCATAGGATTTATCTTGGTCTGTGTGGAAGGAGCTGCTGCCTGCCTGTGCTTCCGAGTAGGAGTAGGGAAGCTGGGGATAATATTGCTAATTTAACTTTGCACGTCTATTGCATCGGATATTGGAATACTATGGTGTTGAAGTTGCCCATTTTATTGGTTAAGATTGATTAATACAGAATGTTAAGCTACAGGCACTGGGGCAAATTGCTGTGCTTGAAGGGTAAGGAAATGTTCCAGATTCTAGGTAGTGTTAGAAATCCTGATTTGCGCTGAGGTTAGACATACAAGAAGGAAGAGGAAATAGTTGTACATGTTGAGGTGCCTAAGCCTTGATTATTATTTCTGCACCTTAGATTGCTATTCTTTGCTCATTTAGATGTCCTCATCTAAACTTGGGAATTAACCATGATTACTTTTAGTAGGTGGGAGTTGTAAACCTTAGCTTCTGCTATTTTGCTAAGCTGTTTTCTGCAAAATTGAGAAAGTAAAACACGAACTAATGGTATAAAGACTTTCCTAAGGCAAGGGAAACTGGAATAGTCTTAAGCAATTTAAGAAACCTTTGGAGGTGAATTGGTATGGAAAATAGGTCAGATTTTCTGTATGCCTACCAGTAAATATTTTTTTACCCAAAGTGATCGATTATTGTTAGAGTTAACTTGCAAGAAAGAGAGACCATTTTAATGGCATGTTGACTTGTATGTTTTTCTGCTGTTAAATTATTAACAAGTGCTGTGTTTTATAAATTAATAACAGTTCAGAGACTTTGTTTATTAAGGTTTTTCAGGCAACTAATGAATGTTGTGGCTTTTTTCCTCCATTGTGCATTACAGTACACAGCTATGCAAGTAACAAATGTTCAAGGAACTTAGCCAACATATTGGAAAGAACTCATTTCAGTGTCTTAACTGAAGTGTAGTACTTTTGACTGCCAAAATCCACATCTGTGATAGGGGGGATGAAAAGGAGGGTTTCTTTTCACTCAGGATTTCTTAATGTCTAAAAAGCTAGCTGTAAGCACTTAAAGAGTAATTTTTAAGGAGTTCTAAAACTTAATTAAATAGTACATAAACCTAAAATTAACACTGTATATTTAATGAATTTCAGGACCATTGCATAACTTGATTTCCAAAGTAACAGAAACATCTGAAAATGAGACACCCATATCTCTTATGTAGTATCATAATCCCTATAAAATGGATTGAAAGAACATTGCATTCCAGACCTTTGCTAGAGTTATATAAATAACAGAGAAACCTAAGATGCAAGTGACAGGATTTCTTAGGATTTAAAAAAAAGCTTTCTGAAACTGATATAGGTAGGTGCAGTTTTCAAAAAACAGAACAAAACAAAAAAAAAAAAACTTCTTTTGAATTAACCCTTGCAGAAATCCTTTGACACTTGTCAGACTTTGGAGTTCACTATTTAAAGCATTAAATAGATACAGCAAGCTGCTGATCATGTGCATGGTACTTCCAAGAAGGTGAAACTGCTGAGTTTCCTGTTTTTGTGTTAAACTTTAGTTTCTGGTACATTGTGATGACATTTAACTTAATGTTTATCCCTTTTTCTCCCTCATGTCCTTTAAGGAAGAAAGTATTAATAGAGTATATAATGGCTTTAATTCTTCATGCGTCTTTTAACATGGGGTATATAAAAAGAAGTCAGGTACTATTTATACTAAATCTCAGAACTTGAATTTAGAAGCTTATTTACTTTGCCAAGCTTAGTAGGTCTTCTCTTTCATGAAGACATTTCTAATACCTACTAAGGCCCTGGACAGACATGCTATGTCAGGGGTGGGCAATTATTTTGGGCAGAGGGCCACTTACTGAGTTTTGGCAAGCCATTGAGGGCCACATGATAGGCAGCCAGGGGCAGATAACTATTAATTTTCTAAATTTTTAGGGGCCCCGCGGGTTGGATAGAATGGCCTGGCGGGCTGCATTTTGCTTGCTCCTGTGCTATGTGAAGCCCTGCAATTGCCTTTGAAGTGCTCCAAATGGTGGGTGCAGGTGTGTGTGGCTAAAGAAGCCCTTAAAAAATAAGGAACATCTTTTGAACTGCTTTCTTTTGAAGTGTCTCCTGAAATATCTGTACATTCAAGGGGTCCTCTGTTCTACTGTGCTCTGCCCTGATGGATGGGCACCAGGGTAGACGGCCAGTGAGTAGTCTCCTGTGCAGTTGGCTGTCCTTGGGACTTGTGCTAATCAGTAGAGGTGTAGATGTCTGCACGGCACCAAATTTGAAGCACTCCAGTATTTGGAGTGCCATCCATGGCCTGAGGGTGCAGTTTTTAAGGGTTTGACATATCATTTGGTCTGTATTGTCATTTACATTAAGAAAATATAAGGATTTTCTGTATATTCAGTGAAAAATAGTATGGTACTTCTCTAGCATTTTTCTGAACAGATTTTTTTTTAAATTTATTTAGGAGCTTAGTGACTTAGCCCGTGATCCTCCCGCACAGTGTTCAGCTGGTCCAGTTGGAGATGATAGTAAGTAGTATTCAACTTGATCTGATGTTTTCTTAATTCAGAGAATTTATAATGCATAGGTAATAACACTGAGTTTTTCTCTTCTAGTGTTTCATTGGCAAGCCACAATTATGGGACCTGTAAGTATTCCCACTTCGTTGAATGTTAATGCTAGCGTGAAATAGTTTTGATTAGCAAGAACTCTTGTCATCTTAATTTCTCTACAGTTAGTCCCTAATTTAGATGCTCCCTAGAATTCCGTTAGGAGAAAGGAAGGGGAAAAAATTACTGTTTGCAAGGTCATCTCTGTAACATGATGCGTGTGTATGTTATGTGAACTGTCTTTCAAACATAATGCAAACAAAATATTATCTTTAACTAGAACATATGTTTATTCACCCCAAAGTTGCTATAGTTTGATCCAATATTGGCTTAGTCTGTACGCAGAATTAGACTTTTGTTTACTGGGATAGATGCACTGGTGCAGATGAGGAAAGCTTTGTTTGGACTGGGTTGGCAGAACTTCCTATAGCTCTGACAGGGGATAAACAAAATCTGACGTGCAAAATTTCAGATATCTGCGGGAACAAAACATGCTTTGGGTACTCGCTATAAATTCCTGAAATTTTACTATGATTTGAAAATTTAGATTAGAAATACTTATCAAAGGTACTTGTCCTTATTGAGGTTTAAATACATTACAAATTAGACTGTTTAGGAATTAAGATATCAAAATAGCTGTAGCTTTTTGCTACTAGAAGCTGCTCGGTTCTAAAAGTATCAGTAACCAAAAAGAAATGTATTGGGATTATTTTAGAAAAACATGCTTACTTGGAATGAACATTATTCATATGTAGGTACATCTTTTAGTAGTTGTGCCTTTGGATCTTGCCTGCAGATGTGGAGCTCAGTGACATTCACTGGGGTGGTACCTTCAGTAGGAGCTCTTTAC